ACTCTTAGTTAGAATTTCAAAAATGGTTGCTGGAGCTTACTTTCTTATACAGCGCCACAGCTCAATTTCAGCATGACATATAAAAGTAGCGTTGAGTTCCAAATGGAAATTAGAATAATTTGCCGTCGCGGTTTCGATTCTCAGACGACGCAAATTTGGCGATTTCACGTTGTTGTTTTGCATAGGACGGCTAAGAAGTGTACAAAGTTTCAAAACGCACGTGCTAAGCTATTGTTCTGCCAATTAGATCTCTCGTTTTTCCACGTCCTCGTTGCCGTCGCCGTCGTGGTTGCGTAAGGTCCCTATTAAGAAGTGCGCGTAGGAATATTGACCGCGAACAGAGTTAAATTCGACGTTTGAATCAAAGGCCGTATTTAACTATTTTAGTCGACTAAAATAGGAGTTAAGTTCGGCACATGTGAAATTCCACATTCGAACTGGGCCTAATACACTTTGGAACGGGACAAAAATACAAAGCAACAAAATGGCCGCACTGAACGCGCGTATAATATGCTAAGCCATCGAATAAGGTGTTTTATTTCGCTTTAAAATGAGCAGAGAAAGTTGTTTTGCGTCATCTACCAAATATCAAATTGATTTTCTGCAAGTTCTTGACGACTATCGTGGTTACTCGGGATACGAAGCTGAACTTATGGTAATGAGGATATATTTTCTGTTTTGTACTTTTTCGGGGCCTATGAAAGGTGAGGTGATATTTGGCAATCATCAAAGACCGTCGTGGTGACTTTTAAGGACTACCGGACTAGTTTTTTTTCCAAACAAAGTTGGAAGTGTCGTGAGAAAAGGCCTCCCTGACGGCACATTTCACTGCATAATAAATACAGATTATTTCTTTCTCAGTTCGTGAGCGGGCGGTATTCTAAAAATCCTGCAATCTGATTGGTTCCGAGAGCGGGCAGTATTCTCCTCATCCGGCCCGCTCACAGCAGGCGGTATCCGTTTCGCTTGAGTAATTTTGCAGAACATCTCAAACTTTGTTGCAATTTTGATTATTTTTCACAAAATTAATACATCTCATTTTGCCGGCTGGGCAGAGTTTTTGAGCAAAGACTTTGGTCACGACCTTTTGGCGATAAACAATATTAATTCTTTCTTCTCTCTCGCTCTCAAATCACTTTGATTTTTCAGCAATAGTTGATTTCGAAATAAATTTTGTGGTACTACATTTGTTTTTAAAAAGATTGAAACGCGGCTTAAAAACAATAGTCTTTGCAGTCTGTGCAATTTGGACATGAGTCGCATGAGTTGGTAGTATCAGAAATCGAACGAGTAGTCTAACGAGTGAGCGCAGCGAACGAGTGAAATTTTTGACACAAACCGACGAGTGCGTTAAATACCCTACAGAAAAACTTTCCATAAAGTATTATATTTATTGTATAGATGCCAAGACTCAATTCTTGTTTAATAGCAATTTATTGTTAAACAGATTCAAGTCAAGATGTCATGAATCCATCATTTATGATGCAAACCATGTAAATTGTCTCGACGATAGAAATGACGAAACACTGCCGACAGCAAGTGAAAAATTACCAAATACTTCTCAATAATTGAAGGAAAGCATCTTAACCTTGAGGTTTCGGGCATATTCGCTGTCGTTTCGTCGAAAGGAGCGAACGAACTTCTTAAGATTCATTTTTAAAATCCTGGTTTTTTCGTTCGCAAAATTCTTTAGACAGTTTCAAATCTCGCCGCTTGGTTTTCTCATTGTTTTCTCTGTTGAGTTTTTGTTCTGCATGCTCTCTATTCCCCGCGATCCTCCACAGAAGTTCCTCAGTCGCCTCATGTAAGAGGCCCTGGGAGTGGATTTCAGTATTTTTTTCGGAACGGTTTGAAAAGCGAAACGCTGAAGGAGTGAAGATTATATGAGAATCGATGTATCGTTTTCCGCACAAGTGAAAAATTTCAATATGCGCCAAATTTTTCACCTAAGGTTTCTTAGAACAGCTTGCAAATGAAAATTTATTTCATGCCTTTACGCTTGAATCTCAGTTTGTATATAGTAAACGATCTGAAGCACTAACAGCTAATTTAGAAAATTTTCACAGATGTGAACCAGCGCCGATAAAGAGTCTGAAAGCTTCCTGCAAATAAAATGCTTAAAATTGTGATAACTATAGAAACATCGAATTCTTGAGTGTATCAACAAAACCCCTATAACATCTTCCTAAAAGCAAAGTGTACCCTGCTTTTTTCATAAAAATGCTTGAGAATTACATTGGCATTTCCATTTGACCATTTCCATTGCCATGTGCCATTTTCGTAGCCACTGTCTCATTTATTCCCTTGACCAATTATGTTATTGCTACCTCAAGCACTTGCCACTATTTTTGTCCCATTTTCTAAGGCTTTAAATCCAATTCTCCATCGTTGTCGTTTAGTTTAGTGATGACAGAAAGAAGACAGCTTCTACGTTATCAATGCCTGGATAAGCCACCAAATCCTTTATTTATCGAAGAAGCTGACTTCACTCCTCTTCATTATCGTCGCCACCCCTATTTTTACATTGATATCACCATTGCCGGCTGGTTTCCATTGGTTTTATCCTTCTTCTTCTCCATCACCAAAATTGACATTACTAGTATTACCATAGCCAGGCGGAACAATGGCCATTTCTATCTTCATAGTCATGTCCGTGGCCACTTCTTCAATCCGCATTACCTTGACCTATGATGTTTTTGCTACATCGTGCTCTAACCATTGTTTTGCCCAATTGCCTTAGGCTTCAACTCCAATTCTCCATCGATGTCGTTTAGCAGAGTTATGACGGAAAGAAGACAGCTTCTACGCGATCAATGCCTGAAGAAGCCACCAAATCCTTTATTTCTAAAAGAAGCTGACTTTTCCCGTTTCATCGTCATTGAAAAGTTGAAGCTCGTTTTTTGCTTCATCCCTAAAGTTTCATGTACAACTTGGAAGCGAACCCTGTATAGTGCTGAGAATGATGGCGAACAACTGAAAGGAGTCCCACACAACAAAAAGTTATTCTCTTGGCTCCAAGACTACAGCATTCTTGAGCGGCAAAAGATTTTGAGCACCTACTACAAAGCCATGTTTGTCAGAGAGCCTTTTGCGAGGCTGGCATCAGCATATCGAGACAAAATTAAAAAGCCATGGTTCAAAAGATTTCTCCACCCCGGAAAAACAAAGCTAGAAATAGAGGGGGAAAAAGATCTTCCATTTTCAGCATTTGTAAGAAGAGTTATTGAAACCAACGCCACGCAGCAAAAAGCTGGTATCGAGGATCAACATTGGCGATCATACGAACATATTTGCCCATGTGAAGTGGACTATGACTTCATTGGTCACTTCGAGAATGTAGATAAGGAGGCACCAACGCTCTTGAAGATTATTGGCGTCGATGGCTACGTAAAATTTCCTGATTATCGCCCGTCTAAGACTTCGCCATACATGCTGGAATACTACTCCCAGTTGACAATAGATGAAATCTTTCAACTGCAGGAACTCTTCGATTTGGATTTTAAACTGTTTGGGTATGACTTTCCGGGGCTTTTAGAGGATATTTTAAAGGAAAAAGGTCCGTCAGAAGAAAGTTGATCAAAGTTTTTACGATGGTTAGTTGTTTATCTTGTAATTCATTATTGTTGATATTTAGGAATGAGGTCCATTTAAGTGGGCGGAGGGTCTGAGTATCCTGTAGCCTTTTAGCTATGATTTGTAGCCTAATCTTGGTTTTCACGTGACTTCATCAAAGTAAATAATAAGGAATTATCAAAAGCAAAAAAAAACTTCAAACGAAAGTGGGGCTTCATAATAGAACTAAAATTGTTCATTGACAGAATGCATCTTTTTATCTTACGTTTTCCTGACATAGAACATACTAGCGTTGCAAAGGTCTGATAACACCTCATGACTAACGTAGATTTCTTTCAGAGGAAGAAAAGACTCGATTCCAAAAGAAGTTGAAAACCGGTTAAAGCAAATACCTTAAAAACAAAGGTGGGAAATGAGGAAAAGTTCAGAGCCGTAAATACATTAGGTAACGGGAAAAGTTCAACCAGACGACTCACTTGCTTTCATTTCAAAGATGTTAGAGTTTTCCCATTCCAAGGAGTAGAAAGCCCTTAAACCAAATGGCTCATCCAACCGGTGCTTTTTCCGGTTTCCATAGCATCGAGTGACCAGAAGTATTAGCGGACCTTGTTGTAGATTTATACAACCAACACTGGAAATCCCCAAGTCTGGATATAATACGTCTTTGCAATCTGCTCGAATCTTGAACAGAAGGGAGGATAAAGAAATAAATAACGAGTAACGAAATAAAATGTGCGTAATAATAATAATAATAATAACAATAACAATAATTATAATAACTTTATTATTTATATAGCGAAAAATACATGGGTATATGATCTAATGCGCTTTACATTACAATGCCTATAATATGCTTATAATATTACAATGAAATAGATAAAAATCACAGCTTATCTACATAGTTAATAAATGGATACTAGATAAAAAATATTATATATATATATATGTATATATATAAATATTATATATATATGTGTATATATATATATATATATGTACATGTAAAAATCTATGTTAAAATACCATAGGTCATAAGCTAAAAGAAAATTTAAAATAATCAGTTTTTAGCCGTGCCATAAAAGTTATAAGACTGCCCAAAGCTCTCAACTCGTCTGGAAGGGCGTTCCACACGGTCGGCGCGGCTGCAAAGAACGGCCTGTCTCCTGTTGTCTACTTGGTCTCATTGGGCAGATCGAGCAGTAAGTGTTTTGTATTTGATCGCAGGTTATAATTTGACTGTGCCTTAAGTCTGATTAATTGATGAATGTATGATGGAGCACTACCACGTAAAGCTTTGAATGTGTATACAACCAATTTAATTGGTAGCCAATGCAAGTATATCAAAACAGGAGAAATGTGATCAAGACGCGTGGTATTGGAAATGACCCTTGGGGCAGCGTTTTGAAACCGTTGCAATTTTCCAGTATTACTGGCTGGTAAGCCGTGCAGCAGACTGTTACAGTGGTCTAGGCGTCCAATTTCTAGTGCTAAGATCAATGTTTGTGCTCTCTTACGTGAAAGGTACTTTCTAACGCGTCTTATTTTGTATAATGAACAAAAATAGAGTGCATTTTTTCGTAATGTGGACTTTGGCATTCAGCTGAGAGTCAAACCAAACACCAAGATTTCGCGCCTTGTTTACAACAGCAAAACTAGTATCGCCAACGGTCAAAGTATTTAGGTTAATTTTGCTAAGTTGTTGACGGATTCCGATTAACAGGACCTCAATTTTGTTCTCAGCTCAGTTTGTCAGCTTGCATCCAAGCCCTTATGGCGCGAATACACTGTTCCAAGGCATGTACTGCCTCTGCTTCACTAAGAGAATTTTTCTGGGTGAAAGGAAAGATAAAGCTGAGTATCGTAAGCGAATGCGTGTGCGTTGGGCGACTACAGCTTAATTGATGACCTCGAACACAGGTTACTACTACCTATGCCTCGAACAGCTTGCTGACATAGGCACTGAAGAGTAGGGGGTCCGAGACACGAACCCTGAGGAACGCCAAAAGGCAGGGGATAACAGTCCGATCCCTCTCCATTTACCGACACGCGCTGGCAACGTCCAGATACGATGAGAACCATGCGAGAGCAGCGTCCGAGCTGTTAAATGAGGTCTCGAGTCGGCTAACAGTGTGGCATGGTAGACGGTATCAAACGCCGCACTCAGGTCAAGTAACACAAGAATTGACACGTGTTGCTTATTCATGTCGGACAAAATATAATTTACAACTCTCAGTAGCGCTGTTTCCATGCTGTGCCCTTTCCTATCGGCAGACTGAAGGATAGGAAACAGTTTGTTGTCAGTCATGTGATTATACACTCGGTCGAGGACAGCCCTTGGTAATTTTTGAGACAAACTGAAGGTTGCTAATAGGTCATAGGTTTTTATGGGTCACTTTCTTAGCACCTTTTTTCAGGAGTGGGTTGACAATCACTTGTTTCCATTCAGTGGGAAAGTGCGCAGTAGTTAGCGAGGTATTGACTAACTTTACGATGACAGGAAGTAGAACATCAAACGAGTCACACCTCAAAGAATCAAGCACGTATGACTTTTTAGCCGATTTCTGAATAAGATGGTAGATATCTTGTTCACTCCGATTCCGGAAGGAGCACATTATTACATTCGTGTCCACCACAGGTTTGTCAGGAGCTACAAGATCGCGATCTGACTGACTGATAGGCGTAACATCAATTTCATTGCGAATGTTCACGACCTTTCGAACAAAATACCTTCCGATATCGTTCGCAACTATTATCTTGTCAAGGTGTTCGGCAAACAAGGGTTCATCCTTCATGCCTAGAAGCTTTTTCGCAGCCTTAAACAACTTCCTTTGATAAGTACCGTTTTCAACCATAAACTCAGAGTAGAAGTCTCGTCTAGCCTTATTCATCAGATAGGTCACATGATTTCTCTTGGACTTGAAATCAAGCAGATCATCGGCAGCCTTTGTCTTTCTCCATTTGCGTTCTGCTTTTTTTCGATCACGCTTAGCATTGTCGATAGTTTCATTGTAACTCTTCTGCGTGTTTTTAGTAGCGCGTGTCGATCAGGCACTGCTGATAAGGTGGCGGTGTATTCAGGTGCATACGCATCAAGTCATCAGCAGTGTCAAACTTTTTTTCATCGCACAGTGAGCTGGCTTGAATATCAGTAACTGAATAACTGATGAGTGCATGATTTAGGCTTAGAAACAGTCATGATTATTCGAAAACATTTTTAAAGAAGGGGGCTTCTGAGGGCCTTTGCATGACTAAACTACTACTTCTCCTCTTCTTCTTTGTTTGCTCCTTTGAAGTTTAATTTCTTTTTGTTGCTATTTCTATTTGTTCTATTTTCTAAGGCTCTTTGTCTTTCCATGCCACGTTGCCCCTTGGACTTTTTTCCTTTAGTTCTTTCTTGTTTTTTTCCGCTTTCTTCTTTCCCGTGTTTCTGCCTATTTGGCCGGGTTGTTTCTCACTCTCTTTCGCCGTCGTTCGTGACTCGCTCCATGACTTCTTTCTCTCTTTCTTTCTTTCCTTCCTATGTTTAGTAAAATACAGTCTCATAACAAACTTTCATTAAAATAATTTATTCCCGTTAACATGGCTTTTGCTACCAATATTGTTGCTTTGCAAGATGATCATAAAAAATCGCAAATTACTGAGAAATGATATTTTATTAACTGCGACTCAAGCAGTATAATTTTCCGTTCAGAACGTGAATTGCAAATCCTTGAGTGAGCTGAACATCAATTAGCCCCCGTAAATACCCCGTCTTTGACCAAACTTTGTGCCTACGGTACGCTGCACTGGGACACCGCATTCAAGTATACATTCAGGTTGTTCATAAGATTATTAGCGCAAGTGCCTATGATTCCCTTGTTACAAACGCACGTGCGCGTGCATACAACCTCCTTTCCGCTGGGATGTTCTCTTTCTATATATGTAATGCCAAGATTTTAGCATTTCAATTGTTCGTGCATGCTGAAAGATTGCACGGAAGGTCGGTCGTAAGTTCACACCAAAAGCCAAATTTTCTCAGCATGATATGTAGCAAACTTCTGCACGATGGGAGGAAATTGCCAGTTGATCCTCTATGTGTTATGAACCCTTTCAGCCTAAAATTTTAGAAAGGTTTTAATTTTAAATTCTACCTTTTAGTGACACTTGTTAAGGGCTTTGTTGATTACAGAATATAAAAAGTGTGAGCTACTCTATCAGAGCTGATCCCAGTTTTCGTCGGGAACTTGACTAAACATATTCTCCAAGTCTGATAATAATTGTTTTTCTTATCTCGCTAGCTTATAAATATGTAGTAGGAAGTTTGAAGACCTGCCATAATTCACACAACTTTTGTCTCAAACAAGGCCAACTTTGAATAAAAGGCCGGGGATTTTAAGTCACGAGGCGCTTTTGTTTTAGAAGGCTCTCGAGCACTTAAATATAGCGAACTTTTCCAAGTTTCCCTGGAAACATTATGTACTTCGAGTAATATTCAAGCATGTGCTTAAGGTAGTATTAGTAGTAGTATTAGTAGTAGTATTAGTAGTAGTAGTAGTAGTAGCAGTAGCAGTAGCAGTAGCAGTAGCAGTAGCAGTAGCAGTAGTAGTAGTAGTAGTAGTAGTAGTAGTAGTAGTAGTAGTAGTAGTAGTAGTAGTAAAACTTTATTTTCAGCTCGGATTGAAGAGTAGTGCATTAGCACTAGTATCTCCGAGAAGGTGTCACCGTGCAGAGTTAATCAACTTGAGGATATATCATACTGAATAAAACTTAGGCAAATGACTAACGTGTTCTTATTTTGTGGCTGCTATGAATATTAGTATTCATAAACTATGAGAATGTTTTGAACGATAGACTATAAACGTATTCAAACGCAAATGAGCTGAGAGTGGGGCAAATATTTACATAAAATTATCTTTGGCTATATCTTTTATTTAATTTGTTCGTCCATGAGTAAAAGAGTGATCAACTTCATTTTATCGCGACCTACCACAACCCGATTGTGCGCGCTAGCCCAAGGTGAAATTTATCGTTATGTTTGGAAAATCTTTTTCACAAGGAATTCGAAAGGATCGCATCATTTTAAAAGTCATTGAATTGTGCTTATGTGCGTGGATCTCAAACCAAGTTTTGGTTAGATATTTTTCTGGAGGTAAGTTACAATACTTTATTTGAATCCTTCCTTGTTAAGGCCGAGGAACAGCCTAGTGAGTATTGATCCCGAAGATTATTTAAGCGTCCTGTTTAAAATGCGTAGCCCACTTGGTAAGGGTGTCAGTTGAAGATTAAAAAATTGATTGTGATACCAAAAGAAATTTACAACTGCTCTTAAAATATACAATTCTTTATTTGATTATCTTCAAGCGTTTTATTCAATTTTCATACCTGAAGAAAATTTACCTGCGTTTGTTCGGGGTGGCTGAGTTGAACTTATTTGATCCTCAGTCATTTAAAACTCCTATAGATACAAATAATCTGCTTTCAGGCCTTCATGATTTCTTCGTTGCTTTGATTTCAAAGTTTCAGTATGAGATAATTCCACGTTTGTCAGTTTCAAGTTGGAAAAGGGCTTATTTAAACATCACTTCGCTCAATAAAAACTGAACCAATTAGCTTCTCGCGGAACCTGTTCAATTCCGCTGATTGCATCTTAATATGGTTGATTATGGCCCAAATAACTCGTGAGTCAGTTAGTAGTGATAATAAACCGATGGGAAGATGATAAAAAAGGCCATCATGAAAAATGTATA